TTGTGCATATTCATAAATTCCTTAAGATACCTTTTCACTCTTTCACTGTGTATTTAATTTGACAGGATTGAAAAGCATTTAGTATGCTTACTCACTGAAAAATTTAACTCATCGCTTTTAGAGGGAGAGCATGGTTCTGATTGGAAAAGTCACACTCATTTTATTGTCTTTGATCCCTGTCTCTAGGAGCTCCTGTGGGATCTCTCCATCTTCTGACCCCATTCCACTTTCAGGTGACACCCCTGCTCTTCATGCGACTATCTCCCTTGCCCCATTTTCTCTGGGTCATCTTAGGCTTAAGATGTTACCCTTACAAGTTACAAGTTCCACATTACCCTTGCTACCCTGACTATGGAAAGGTGCCTGCTCAACTCTTAACTCCATTCCTAAACATCTGCACGTCAGCTCCAGAAAGAGGAGGAAGATGGGGACTGAGGCAGGAATTCTGTGGAATGAGAAAGGAGTAAGCCCTTAATTCTTATCCCAGATCACGGTGAAGCACAGGCTGAACCCCTTAGACCTGATCATGGGTCAGGGTGATCTCAAACCTAGTGGTCCAGAGTGAGAGACCTACACAGTCTGTGGGTGGAAGGGACCCAGAAAGCAGCAAGCTCATTGGAAACCAGTATTTCCTCCAGGTACCCGAGAGGAGAGATGAGCATATTTAAGACTTCTGTGTGTTGTGTCCTGTTAACATTGCCTCATATATATTTTATTGTAGTTGTATAGGTTTTCACATTCTAAAGTGTCTTTTGTCATTCATTCATTCATTCAGTTTTTTTTTTTATTGAGCACCTACTACTTTTCAGGCTGTCTTCTAGCCACTGAGGATATAGAAGGAAACAAGACAGGCAAAGCTTTCAGCCCTCCTGACCTGACACTAGGTTCTAGTGGGGAAGGATAGAGAATGAAAAAGATAAGTAAGTGAAATATATTGTTTGTTACAATCATGAGAAATGCTAAGGAGAAAAACAGAATAAGAAGTGTTGAGTTCTGTAGGAAGGATTGTCATTTTAGATAGAGGGGCCAGGAAAGGCCTCCCTGAAAAAGCAATCTCTGATTTAATGTCTGAACAAACTTGTGCAGTGAGCCGGGCAGATGCTAGCAAGGAAGAGGTTTCCAGGCACAGGAAAGAGCAAGGGCCAGGGCCCTGAGGCAGTGCAGGGAAGCCAGAACTGAGAACATGAAACCATACTTGAAGTTTAAATACTGAGAGTTGTTCTGATGGTAAAATCTCGTCCACTACCTCCTCCTACTTACCCTCTGAATGTGCCAGCTGTCTGGGACCACTAACATTCCACATAAGTCAGTCTGAAATTGAGAGTTTTAATGAATTTCAAACTGGTAATGACTCCTGGCTTGAGATCTGGTACCATTTTTCTGACAGTCTTTATTTCCATCTCTATCCCAGTGTTTGCACTTCAGCCTCTCCTTGCCTTGAGTATTTTCTCTCTCTTTAATTGAAATGTATTGATTGTATATATTTGGGGGGTACAGAGTCATATTTTGATACATGTATACAATACGTGATGATCAGATCAGGGTAATTAGTATATTCATCATTGCAAAACCTGATCATTTCTTTGTGATGCAAACATTTGATCTCCTCTCTTCTAGCCATTTGATAACATGCAGTTATTATTGATTATAGATGCCTAGCTCGACTATACACCAATAGAGCTTATTTTTCCTCTCTACCTGTAATTTTGCGTTCATTAATCAACTTCTCACTTAACCAACACCCTCTTTCCTGCCTCTAGTAAACACAGTTCTACTCTCTTTCTAAAAGTTTCATGTACAGGCTGGCTGGTCAGCTCAGTTGGTTAGAGCACGGTATTATAGCACAAAGGGCAAGGGTTCAGATCCCTGTACTGGCTAGTGCCAAAAAAAAATTAAATAAATAAATGAAAGTTCAACTTTAATTAATTAATTAATTAATTTTAGCTTCTACATATGAGTGAGAACATGCAGTATTTCCTTTTCTCTCTTACCTAGTGACTGTGTGACGATTATGTTGGTAAGATACTGATTGTTCACTTTTTGCTTTTATTACTAAAATGTTCATAAATATTTATTGACTCCTTACCATGAGTGGAATATTTCTAGTCTTTGTAGAGGCTGTGGAAAAGTAAAAGACACTTTCTGCTCTGAAGTTGTCCAGGCTACGGAATCAACAAGGTCTGTGCAAATGTAAAATGTAAACCCGGTTTTGTTTGCTTGAAATAAAAATAAATGATAAAGGTTAAGTAGGATCCAACAGGAAGAAATTAGGATGGTGGAAGTGGCTGGCATTTTACATTTGTACATGGAAAAGATTAGAACTTGCAGTTTACCAGCTTTCTGGGGGTTGCCTGTGGGGTAGGAGTTATTCCTGAAAGAGGACATTGTGTTTCTTGTATGCAACGAGCAATTTTAATTTTTATGCTTATGTTATTTCAGAGACCACTGACCCCCAGGGGCCTTTATGGTTCTCACTAACCTTTCAAGAAAAGTTTTCAAATGAAGGGGCATTTCAGCAGTCCCTAGAAACTTGTTTTTCTTAACTTCAGTTGCTTCAAACTTCCTGCTGATTCTTGCTTAGGTCACCCCCTGAGAATTTCTCTTGGTCGGATTTAGGAGATTTGGCGTTCATCTCTAAATTCTATTTCTGAAGATAAATGTGGCTTCTTTCCTACCTTGGCTGGCTGAACAGAATCTTGCTACTAAAAATGCTATTAATATAATGGAGCTGTTCGTGTGATGCATGGAGTGTAATAATTCCTGAATGTTGGGGCCATTTCCTTAAGGAAACCTCTTCTAAGGCTTTTAACTTGATTAGTTTTCTGTTGGCAGAAACAAGCCTAACTAGAAAGGTGTTGTTGAAAATATGTCTGTCAATTTACATTTGCAAACTTTTGATAAATATGATAGAGGGGGATTAATCCCAGCATATTTGAGGTGCTACTTTAGCCTTCTCTTCCATCCAGTTTATGTCACCATAATTCTTTCCTCCTTTAAATGTAAACCTATGTGATTTCTAAAATGGGGCTGTGATGAACATTTGTTCTAAATCTTTTATTATTTATTGGTAAAACATATAGTTACATAGACACATCTAGGTACCATAATTCATACTTTAAAAAATTAAGAATGCTAAGAAATTGGTCATGGCCTTTAGTGTTACCGAAATGTGTATTTATCTATTTTACTCATAAAAAATGTAGCAAGTGCTATTCTTAGGAATTTAAATAACATAAACGGTGGTGCATGGACAGTTGATCTTTTCATTTTCCCTATACTTAAATTTTTATCTTTTGTTTTGTTTTGCTTCTTAAAGATACCAGCCAGATAAGCACGAACATATTCCTTTGAAATGTATTTGCTGCTAGTAAAAAAGAGATTCTCTTTCTTGGAAAATTCCCTCTGAGAACCGTATGATGTGTGACCTGATGGGGAATGTTCCAGTATGGGAATAGATTAACATCTGGTGTCTGTATGAGTTACCTCTGAACTCACTGGAACATTAAATGGAGGTTTTCTCTTCCTGTTACCACAAATTTTATTTCAGTAAAGATGTGCTTGTGAGAGTTTAGGCAACATTTTAGACTGAACAGTGGGATTGTGGTGATTCTTGGCTCAGTGTGAAGCTATATTATATTCCAGGCTGTTTCAATCTCTTTGCAGTGGTCATGGTAATATCATTTCCCATTTCTCCGTAGTGCCTTTTACTTTTTAGTTTATTGCATGTCTTCCCTGGCTAGAATATCAGTTTCATGTGAGTAGATAATTTCTCTCTTCTGTTCTCTGCTATATCTCTGGCTTCTAGAACATAGTTGGTTCTCAGTGCATATTTTCTGAATGAATGGCTTTGTAGGTGGTTAAAAGAACCAGCTCAGGGATATGCCGGCTACTCTTTTTCTTCTTTCCTTTCTAGCTGTTTTCACATGTGTTATCTTAAGTGTATACAATTTAAAGTGCTATCGAGAGACCTTGCGGAGCTAGGAGAATAGGCTAAGTAGAGTCACAATTGTCAAGATTTGAAGATTTTTCTCTTTCCCACTGTGAGTAACAGAACTGTGTCATTGGGTCAGTGAAAGAGACTGGGAAAATGTGAAGGAGGGACTTGAATTAACCTGGGTCACCCCAAAAGACTGAATCACATTTAGTGGTTTCATAATGTGAATTTCTGTTTGCAGGGCACTTTGTACCAGATTAATGTTTGCAGGTTGGATTTGCTCCCAGAAATAAATCCATTAGGCTGCTGCTAAGCAGAGAGTGGGGTTTCTATTTCGTTTTGCCCATCCCCACCACCACTGCCTACCCCCTCCAAGAAAAAAAATCCAAACAAAAAACCCAAATCAAGGTTTTTGGAATGCTGTGAAATTAAAGCTGAAAGCTTTTTTCTTTTCAACTTTGATTTATTAGGAAAAGTTGATTGGACTTACATTTTGATGTTTTCCATTATTGACTGATTTTGAAATATGAATAGAGTCCAAATAGAAGAAAAAAAAACAACATTGGCAGGGAGAGTGGGAGGTTACCAAATACACCTCAGAGTTTTGTGTTTTGAAATATATGTATAATTTTAAACAGAAAATTACTTATTTGGTAGACACCTGTGTTTGTACTTTTTGAGTTTTCAGTTTATGGATAGGAATAGAATTTTGAAGATCTAATTGTAGAGTTTGGGAAGGAAGACAAGGTTAGCAGAGTTGTTGGCTGTACAAAAGCAACTCTGGCATGCCACCCGGGCATCCACCCTCAGTGCAGAGACAAGTACTTATGTGCTTATTTCACATCTCAGGGGGCAGTCTCAACAGATGATGTTAGTTCTCACCTGCTACCAGGTAAGAGTCCAAGTACCTGCCAGGTGCAGGTAGCAAGTTGTGCTGTTACCTGAGCCCCATAAGCCAAGGCTTCTGCTCTCCCTGCACACTGATCTCTTTCTCTAAAAGCCTACCCGTATACTAATAGTGACTCAATTATCACCTCCTTGTCTTCTGCCTTTGTTACAGACCGTAAAACCATGGGAAACGCAGAAAGTCAAAATGTAGAGCATGAGTTTTATGGAGAAAAGCATGCCAGCCTGGGGCGCAAGCACACATCCCGCTCGCTGCGCCTCTCACACAAGACCCGGCGCACGAGGCACGCTTCCTCGGGGAAGGTGATCCACAGGAACTCCGAAGTGAGCACCCGCTCCAGCAGCACCCCCAGCATCCCCCAGTCCCTGGCCGAAAATGGCCTGGAGCCCTTCTCCCAAGAAGGCACCCTAGAGGACTTCGGGAGGCCCATTTGGGTGGACCGCGTGGACATGGGCTTGAGACCTGTGTCTTACACCGATTCTTCTGTCACTCCCAGCGTAGACAGCAGCATCGTCCTCACGGCAGCCTCTGTGCAAAGCATGCCAGACTCGGAGGAGAGCAGGCTTTACGGGGATGACGCTACATATTTGGCTGAGGGAGGCAGGAGGCAGCATCCCTATACATCCAATGGGCCCACTTTCATGGAGACGGCGAGCTTTAAGAAGAAACGCTCCAAATCTGCAGACATCTGGCGGGAGGACAGCCTGGAATTCTCACTCTCTGATCTGAGCCAAGAACATTTAACAAGCAACGAAGAAATCTTGGGTTCCGCGGAAGAGAAGGACTGCGAGGAGGCTCGGGGGATGGAAACACAGGCGAGTCCGCGGCAGCTCAGCACCTGTCACCGTGCCAATTCCCTGGGTGACTTGTATGCTCAGAAAAACTCTGGGGTGACAGCAAACGGGGGGCCAAGGAGCAAATTTGCAGGCTATTGTCGGAATTTAGTGTCTGATATTCCCGATCTTGCAAACCATAAGATGCCACCAGCTGCTGCCGAAGATACTCCTCCGTACAGTAATTATAACACACTTCCCTGTAGGAAATCTCACTGTCTCTCTGAAGGTGCCACCAACCCACAAATTAGCCATAGCAACAGCATGCAAGGCAGAAGAGCAAAAACAACTCAGGTAAAGTGATTGAAATCTGTTTCAATATTTTGGAAATGGTGCATGACTCTTTAAGTGCATGATTTTGCTCTTATAAGATTCCCATCTTTTAATCAGATTTTACCCTGTTTGGCTGCTGCAGCTGGTGCCACTTCTCTAAGAATTCCTCTCCCTTCTGTTTTGCTCCTCTTATGGTTCTGTGGTTAAGGGGTGGGGATTAAGGGGAGTGTGTGTGTGTGGGGGGGATGTGATAGGAGTGGGAATAAAGCTGGTAAGTTCATACTGGGAGGCTGCCTGTGCTACTCAGTTCTTCAACAGCATCTCACTTATTCGAGCTTCTTTTCTAACTTGGTCCTTTCTGGGGACAGACAGGAATGGTGGGGCGTGGACTGTTGGAGCTTATTTCTTCACTGCAGCAGGTGGGAAGAGGTTAGTTGGCGGCTCGCCGGGAGGAGGCATTTTTAATTCAGGGAGGGCTCTGGTCACTCGTCAGCTTCTCTCAGGGGTTGGCAGCCTCACTGCCTTACCAGGAGCCATTTCAATTTCCTGTGCCTTGCAAAGCTGGCCAGCCCTGTCTCTGGAGGGAGGCGTAGCGGAAGGAATAACATGGGTGGGTTCCAGTTCCTACTTTGCAGCCAACTAGTTGTTTGACCTTGAGCAAACCCCAACTTCTGGTTGTTCCTCTGAAAAATGGGGATAAGGATGCTCAACTTGCCTGCTTTGGGGTCTACTGCATGACAGGGTGTGTGTGAAAACATTTTTTTTTTCCTTTTTGTCTTTATTCGTGACTGGCATCGGATCGCAACCCTCGGTGTTGCTCCCGCACCTTGCTCAGCCAGTGAGCAGCCGGTCTGTATGTGGGATCCGAACCCTCGGCGGGAGTCCCGCCGTACTTCCCAAGCGGCGCGCTGTGCGCCACCGGGCCGGCCCTGTGAAAACATTTAAAAAAGACTTTAAAAGTATCTTGCTAATGCGAGGAGGATCTGTTACCTTAGTTGGCAAGGGCAATTAATATTAGGATAATAAAATACTGAGCAATCTTGCATTCCTTGGTCCTTTTCTGGTACTACTGTTCCCTGTGGCAGTGGTTTGTAGAATGGTGCCTTAGGTTAAAAATCCAGATGGGGCTCATTTGCCTTGAAAGGTGTGTTAGCCACCAGGGTTACCAGCAAACACCACTGACCTGACCAGTGGAGGATGGGGCTGCATGCTCTGGCCTTGCTCCAGTGCAAGTCAAATGGGTGTTTTGAGGTTCAGTTCTGCTAGAGAGGGGTTCTAAATATAATGGACAGATGGTGGAGAACCTGGGGGGCCAGGGGAAAGAAAACTGGCATTAGACTGTTCCTGCCTGAGGACAGGTTTTGCTGATGGTGTCCAAGCCAGGCACCCTAGCTCCAACTCTTCTTACGTGGGTGACTTTGGGCAAGTTTCTTGAAGCCTTAATGTTTTCATTTGTCAAATGGAGATAATAAGATTTTTTGAGAAAGTGGAATGAAATAACATGTGAAGCCTGGTATTTAGGAAGCAGCCAGTACGGTAGAATTTGTTAGGTGTTGTTATTTTCATCACTGTTAGTGGTGTTATATGGCTTGAAGACCCAGGGCTGTTTGGTGTTTGTATCAAAATCTTGTGTCATACAAACAAAGTTGTTAAGAAGGCTGAATCTGTGGTCTGAGAAGGTGAGCATGAAGCTTTCATCGAGATGCACTACCTGAATTTTAACCCATTTCATTTCTGAATTGAGATTATAACGGCAGAATACGTGCCCCCCTCTGCCCCCCGTGGTCCCTCTGCCTACCCTGTATGGGCTACTCGTGCTTTGTCCATTTGACAGGGGTCACCTGAAAAGCACTGAAGGGCTGTCTTGAAGGCATCATGAGATTGGCATTGCAGGACTGATTCAAAGAGGTGGTCTGCTGGCCTTTGGAGTTTGGGGAAGGGTGCATTGACATAGACTATTAAATATGGAACATCACCTTCGACTTTCAGTTTTACCTGGAACAATGCTAAGTTATCACATATTCTATGTAAGATTTGCAAGGGATACCTGGCTATATTCTTCAGCCTTTCTCTTTCCATGGTTCTAACACCGGAGGACAGCTAGACCTCTGCTCCCTCCCACACCCAGCTGCCTGATGGGATTTGACCTTGGAGTCTTGGCTACTCCCAGAAGAGGGCAAAGCAAAGCAGGTCTCCCCTCCAGATCCAGTACCACTGAAAGCTGTCACGTGTAATTATTATACGAAATTTCCATTCTTTGGCTTATCACCTTCCAAAATTGTTAATATAATGGAAGTGAGATCATCTAAATTCGGTGCCTCATAAAGTCACTGCTAAGGCATCTTAATATAACGCAAAGTGCAATGGATTTGCATCCTGGTGTCTGCTTATCCATACAGTGACCTTGGGCCACTCACTCCCTCGTATGTGCCACAAGATCCTTCTCTGTCCAGTCTGAGTGACAGTAGCCTCCAACAGGGCCATTAGGAGAACCAACTGGGATACTGTGCACAGAAGCCTTTTGCGGAGCCTATAAAATGAATGGAAATATTATTTTTGTACTGACTTTATATGTTGAGTGAGGATCTTTAATGACTTGAAACAAACCCCAGAATTATGCACAACACTATCCTCCCGCCCACATTTCCTAGTCTAAGTTTGGCATGCTCATCCAACGCGATTTCTTGAGAGCCCACTATGTTCCAAACAGTGTATTTTAAGAGACAGTGGGTGTGGAAGCTTCCTTGAAGAAAATTCTTTTTTTTTTTTTTTTTTAGTTAAAGTTTTTGACCCAGAGGACCTCTCCAGTGAGCTTGAATCAAGATATTAAAGTCTCCTCAGCTGCCCTGGTGATGCAGTTGAATCGGTAATAGTCTTGTCAGCAGTTTTATTCCCTGAAAAAGAGTTCCTGGCAGACATTTGGCCCAAGAGCATGTCCTCTAAGCCTGGAAGAAAATACATTTTTTTCTGAAATAATGTGAATGATTTCATGTGATTTAAAAATGATCAAAAAAGAGTTTTTGGCCATTCTTCCTGTTTTTGTATTTGTTCAGTAGTTGGATGTCTTACTGAAATGTGAAGGCACTGGAGTTCACATTTAGGTTGTGAAAAGTAACACATACTATCTGTTGCAGTTTCTGGCACACAATTATTTATGTATATTTGAGCATGTGTTGTGTGTGCGTGTGTGTGTGTGTGTGTGTGTGTGTGTTTGCGCATGCACCATGAATAAAAGTTTGTATTGCAAGTCAGTACGGGTAAAGCCTCATACGATTTGAAGCAGAATTTACTGCTAGTGCTTTCTGTAAAAGCACATAATAGGTTGGATTTAATTGATGGCTACTTGTTCTTTTGGCCTGAACTTTACATTCTTTGTATTTCTTTGGTTACAGATAGAGGAAGGGGCAGCCTCGTGTCATGCAAAGAAGAGGTTATCAGCATATCTGAGCTTACGAATTTGAGCCTGTTACCTCTTGGTTATTCAACTTCCAGAGATCTCAGTGACTCTTTTTTTGTTGTTGTTGTCCTTTTTGAGACCGGCCTCACAGTGAGCGCTGTGAGTGCACCGGTCATTCCTATATAGGATCTGAACCCGCGGCGGGAGCGCTGCTGCGCTCCCAGCGCCGCACTCAGTGCGCCACGGGCTCAGCCCCTCAGTGACTCTTAATTGAGGCTGGTGGGAGGATTCTGCCAGGGAATGAATGGAAAACAGTGTCTTGCACATAACAGATGCTCAATAAATAGTGGGTATTTGTTGTGATGGTGAAGTTTTGAGTTAGTGTTCTAGAGTTCAGCTCTTCCGCTATCTCAGCAACAGGGGTGCTGGAGAGAGAGAAGTCTGCCATTTGACAGAGGGTCCATCTTGTAGCCAGGTTCTGTGTTTCTAGGGAAAGCTTTGGCTTGGAACCATTGTGCACACTCGTGAGGAGAGCTTCATTCATCCACTTGGAAGATGAGAGAATGTGGCGCTGCTGTACTGAGCTTGTGGCAAGGGGATGTATTCTCAGAGCCCCTAGCCCAGATGTGGCACTTGTAATTAGGATAGTGGGTTTAACTGACCTGTTTCCCACCCCTCAGTATTCCCAGACCATGTATGGAGCGGGAATGGGATAACGCAGAGTTCTCAGCCAGAGCTTAGGAACCTCGTTGGCTGGTGACAGGGATTCATTTCAGTGTGATTTAGTTACCAACTTGTTGGAGCGACCTCACAGATCACCTCTCCATACAACCCCATTGCTTTTCAGAGGAGGAAGAGGATCTAACTAAAGAGATTAGGTGCCAAGTTCTCACAACTGGATTAAAATTCAGATCTTCTGACTCACTGACCAGGGCCCTTTCTTCAGGGTCTCCCTCCCTGTTCCCCCACATCCTACCTCCCCAGCCATGAACAGATTTCAGCCTAAGTGTCCTCAGATTTTAAAATCAAAACCTTCCACTCTGGTACAGAAAAAAAAAGGGCTTGGCTGAAAAGAAAATTGTTACTGCCCACGTCTGTTGCAGGAAATGATGGTTATGGAGAGAGGCGAGGACAACTCTAGAAAGAGCCCTCCCCGATGCTTGCTGTCTTTGATAAGCAAGGAGATGGGATGGTGATTTTAACAGGATAGGGGGTGCAGCCTTATCAGAAAAGGATTTTGAGTTCCTAGAAAAATTGCGTTGATTTATAAAATTTTATTTTGTTTTACAACTTAGCTTAATGGCCCAGAAATAAGTTTGTGTCCCAAGCTGAAAAATTGACATCAACAGCCAAATGATTCTTAACCTTCGGTCACAGACTCCTTTGAGAATCGAATGAAAAATTTGGACCTTTTCCTTAGAATAAACACATGGGCCGCCCTTCTGCATATTATTTCAGGAGGTCCATGGGTCCCCCAAAGTCCATTTAGAAGTTTCTGGTTAAGAACTTAAGGTTAATTCTTCATGAAACAAAATATTTTCATGTAAAAGCTTTTTAAAAAAAAAAAACAAAAAACAATTCTCTCCTCCTTCCCTTTACCTCTATCTCTTTGTGATGCTTGTGT